TGCGCATAGCCTCTTCCTCAGCGAGAGCAGTACGCCGTCGCTAGCAATACTTCTTCTTGACGGATCCAAAGACGAGTCCGACATGGCTCAGCAACTCGAGCAGTGGTGCGGTGTATTCATCAGCTGTAACCGCGAGCTGCCGAGGAGAGAGAAGCAGACGGGTCCCTGCGGTGCAGAGGCGTTCGCAATGATGCCCGATCGTCGCATGCCAATGATTGTGATTGTCAGCCGAGGAACGAGCTTGGACGGGGGAAAGCGCCAGCGCATCTGGGACCTCTATCAGAGCGTGTGCGGAAAGTTCCGCATGTACTTGGACTTTGAGCAGGAGCCTATCTTCTTGGACTGCCGCAAATCCTACTCGGAGAAGATGGTTGCATTGCGAGCAAGAATAAATGCAATCTCCAACAGGCTGATGAAGGTAAATGAGTTTTTTTAGTGATGAGTTTCTGGTGAATGTAGCACAAGTGTGTGGTAAGTTGTAGCCTAGTAACCTTGGAGAGCATACAGAAGAGGTGCCGTTGTCTCCATTGCAAACATGTTTGGTCGGTATAGATGATAATTTAGGTGGCCCTGTAAGCAACGATCATTTCGTTTGTGGTTTGTCTTTATGGCGTGTGCATGCAATCCGCTGTTGCTGTTTTTTGACATGTGCACTCCATTTCGAGGACGTTGGCACATCACAAAATCTACTTCATCCGGTAGTGTAATCAATCCTAACTAACTAGTGAAGCTAGCCTGTTACAGTAGAACCTGTGACTAAAGACCACCCCTTGGGGCCAGAAAAAGCGGTCTTTAGTGGCAGGTGGTCCTTAGTTGGAGGTTCGCACCGCACAACCATATACGAATGTTTGACTGTCCGTGCGTGGCAAAGTGGTCGGTAGTGCCAGGCTGGTCGCTAGTCACGGTGGTCTTTAGTTACAGGTTTTCCTGTATTTCTGATTGATTTTGTGTGCGTAGCAAGCTGGGCAGCAGCCACGCTTAATACAGGCGATCCGAAAGGCCCTGCCAAGGGTACGCAAGCACGTTGGCAAGCCGTTCTGCTATCGACCGGCGTTCACTGCTGCTCTGCTGGATGCGCTCAAGGCCGACGGCAAGGCGACCAACTCGATCGATTTCAGCGGCTCTTCGGCGCGGCAAGCGATTGAACCAGCTCTGCGCCTTCTCTCGTGCTATGGCGAGGTAAATAATCCCGGAATATTTTTTTTATTTCACGGTTCAGAACAGAACAAGGAAAATCAGGGCTTGTTTGCTGCTACTTCAAGTTTCATGCTCTCACAATCACCAGGCAACATTGTTGTTGTGGTGGTCTCCCATGCTCTTCACCTTGACTATGTTTGTGCTTGACAAAATTGCACAACCAATGGTCTAAGGTAGCATATGACTCTGTATCTAATATTGACTGAGTACGAGGTCAATATAGGAAATAAAAGCCGAGTAAAAGACCGTGGCGAAGCCGAGGTCTTTTACGAGGTTTTTATTTCCTATACTGACCAAGTACGAAGTCAATATTAGATTTATCACGACAAACAGTCTGTATTTCAAATTCCAGAACGATAACCTCATGAATCCCGGTTTTATGATTGCACAACCGTTGCACCACCACCTATTCATGCAGTGACAATGCTGAACTAGGCACCGTTCAACTGCGCAACCCCTAAGCAGTCAAATATAAGCAGTCAATATAGCCCTAAGGAGTGAAATATACAGGAATATTTGACTGCTTAGGTATGGCAAAAATCTATGCGAGTCAATACTAAGGGAGTGATAAAGGGTAATATTGCCCAGGCAATGGTCTGGGATAGCATTTCAGAGGCAATGGCCTAGAGTGGCATGCACAACAAAAAAGACCCATCCAATGGTCTAAGGTAGCATATGTCTAGGGTGATATTGCCCAGGCAATGGTCTGGGATAGCATTTCCGAGGCAATGGCCTAGAGTGGCATGCACAACAAAAAAGACCCATCCAATGGTCTAAGGTAGCATATGTCTAGGGTGATATTGCCCAGGCAATGGTCTGGGATAGCATTTCCGAGGCAATGGCCTAGAGTGGCATGCACAACAAAAAAGACCCATCCAATGGTCTAAGGTAGCATATGTCTAGGGTGATATTGCCCAGGCAATGGTCTGGGATAGCATTTCCGAGGCAATGGCCTAGAGTGGCATGCACAACAAAAAAGACCCATCCAATGGTCTAAGGTAGCATATGTCTAGGGTGATATTGCCCAGGCAATGGTCTGGGATAGCGTTTCCAAGGCAATGTGGCATGCACAAGAAAAAAGACCCATCCATACCTGATACCGTGTGAGAATCGTATGGGAGTATATTACTGTGAGTACGTTTGATTATGCCCGCGAATCGATTCATGAATCCATTCATGAATCCATTCACTCTATTCACATCACCCCATGTGAATAGGGTGAGTGGATTCCCAATCGATTCCAGGGCTCATGACATGAAAATCGAACGACTTGTATGCACTTGAATCGATTCATGAATCAATTCAAGTGCGTAATCGAATTCACTCACTGTATGTTCATACTCTTTCCTCTATGTTCTATTCTGCTTTGTTTCTGCCTTAGCTTGTGACTTTTGAGTCTCCCACACTGAAAGATACCATTGTTATCGAGCCAGAATGGTTGCCAACGTTCCTCTATGTTCTATTCTGCTTTGTTTCTGCCTTAGCTTGTGACTTTTGAGTCGCCCACACTGAAAGATACTATTGTCATCGAGCCAGAATGGTTGCTGACGACAATCGTCGGCCAGCTCTGCTCCCCGAAGTTCTTTTTCCCTCAGCTGCGCGTCACGTTTGAGAAGGGCCGGGCGGCCAAAGAAGACGTTGTACAGCGTCTTACCGCGCCGCACCAGCCCGGCGCAATGGTGCTGGACATGCTGATGCAGCTAGGACTGTGCGTCGTTGAGCAGAACAACGTGATCGTGCCCAGCAAGCTGCCACCGCTGGACAGCGATCACACGCAGATAGGCAACTGGCAGGCCAGGACCACGCCGCTCAAGTACGCCGGGGTGCGCTTCTCCTGCGAGGAGAGCATCCCTCTCTCCGCCGGATTTGTCGTCCTGCTGCAGACACGCACGTTCTCCGAGTTTCAACAGCAGCAGGGCAAAATATCTCGCCTGTGGCTGCGCGGCGTCGGTGTATCCCCCTGTGCCAGTGAAGTTCAGGGAACCATCGGGGTTCACCCGACACGCTTGGCCGTGGACGTGGCAGTACGAGGTCCAGCCGGCAGCCAGCGCGACATGTTTGCACTGCTTCACATCCTTTGCGAGTTGGTCGTCAGCTCAGCGACTCAATACAGCCCAGGCACGGTGCTGTGCAAGCTGGTTCTCAGTGCTGCTGAGCTTCAAGACAAGGTGGAGACCCCCACACTCGCATACCCGGGCGTCACCTATCTCCCGAGCGACGTGGAGAACGCTATCCGCGGCAATCGCATTGTGGAGAGCACGGACAGCGAAGTCAGCGACCGAGCTCTAGATCTCCTACACTTGCCGCCAACTCACATCCACCTGATTTCTGCATGCAGCCTGGAGAAGCTGTGTGAGGTATTGGACACTCCGAGCGATCGCGACTGGAAACATCTTGCCGAGCGTCTGGGCTTCACGTGTGCTGAGATCTCGACCAGCATTGGCCAGACTCCTGGCTCCAAGACGGCTGCATTACTACAGCGCTGGGCCAGAAAAAGTCCAAACAACTGTGTGGAGCGTCTGCTACGTGTCCAGGAACACCCGAGCAAAGGCAATATACCTGCGGCCAAGATCCTGCGCGAGGAGCTGCAAAAGGTAAGGTTTCTCTTCGCAATGCAGTTGTATGAGGTCGATTGCCTTTTAGGTGATCACCTGTCCGTTCATTGTGTGCGGATTAAGCAGGGTGTGCAAGCAGTCACGCACACAGTCATGCATCTGGTGCATTGACCCATATAGGAAAATTTCAATGCTGTCACTTTCTTTCTGTTTGTATTGCACTTGTATTTATTGATTCTGCACACTCCTTAGCGTAAACCAAGATAGTCGTGTACGCAGGTATACAAGTCCGCACCTTACCATGCTCTGTCCGCTAAGCCACTAGATAACCTGCAAACCAATTTCCCGGTACACAGAGAAGTATTTGAATCTTTTTTTCGTCAAATTTTGTCTTGAGAGCTGATTGAAGAATCTATGCTTTGCTTCCTTCAGCCATTCCTTGGTACACCCAATCTCTTTGTGGCTCGCAAGATGGGCTGCAGGGACTTGTGGATAAGTCATCACGGAGTCAGCTTCACACTGGATAGTGAGGATCAGTGACAGGACTGCCGGAAACAGTTTTCAATTGGTCTGGCCATATACCATACATACTTTGTGTATAATATGGCAGGGACATATGCCATCCTCAGCAGTAAACGTGTGTTGACACAGTTGATCCGGTGTCAACTGAGTGGAGATGGAAGATTTCCGGCCGGACCCGGAAAGACGTTTGAATGGTGCCTGGTGCTCCTCGTAGTGTGCATGTGTGTGTGTGCATGTGTGTCCATGTGTGTGTGCGTGTGTGTGTGTGCGTGCGTGTGTGTGTGTGTGTGCGCGTGTGTGTATGTGCGTATGTGCCTGTGCGTCTGCATGTGTGTGCGTAGGATTGCATGCAGGATGTCGAATGAATAACTTTATCTGTTGTAAAGCATGCCCATTCCTTTGGCCTCTGCAGTAAATGCAGAAGGAACTGCTCAGGCTCTGTGCACACAGCCTGTTCACTGGATGCCAGTGCTGCCTCTTTTTTCATTTTCATTTGAAGATGTATTTTTTCATAATCAGCACTCTGCTGCAATGAAGATCTTGTTAATTGCTAGTGCATGAAACAGAGCCCACTAGGCATTCTATGAACGATAGGGACTTCTTTTGAATTATGCCTTGACATCATCACTATGTTCGTTGACACGCATTGCCAGTCTTTCGCTTTCTCCCACTTGTTTAAAAAAAATCTTTATTAGAGGTGATATGTTGTCTTCGATCTGTGCGGCAGTGCCTACTCACCGTCTCAAATTATGCCTGAGCAGTACTTACTGGCTTATGAAGAAAGCCTGTGTAGAATTGGCAGAGCTTGTGATGTTGTTTATTCATCAGGCTCATGCAGCTCTTCAGCCAATGTGAATCATTGCCAAGCTATTTACTGTTTACGTTTTGATTATTCTGTTCTTCTGACCCTCCCGGTCCCTGTTCACCGCTAGTCTACTACTGAGATGAGACTCGGGGCAAGGGGACTGGAGCGGATATATCTCTAGCCGAGGCCGGTGATATTTCCCATAATGATAAAAACGTGAGCACGTTCATATTGTTCAGCCAGTCCTGAATAGCACTCCTGAATGGTATTAGCAGATTCCACCCAGACTGAACGCTATGAACTTACAAAATGTAAAAAAGAAGAAGATAAGAAACACATGAGAACGAGTCGTGTTAGAGCTAGGTCTCGGGTCGCTGAAATTGAATGTCTCAGTAGCCTGTCAGTTTTGTGCCCTATTATCGCACTTTCTGACCGTTTATCATCTTGTGACAGTCGTGGATAGTTGCTGCATACCTCGTTCTCATGTGTTTCTTCTCTTTTTTACATTTTATTACTGGCTCAGTATCCGTTCCAAATTCTTTACTTTCTCACTCACCCGCATACCCTCTCTCAGCAAGGGACATTAGGGAGGTTTAGTCCCACGTACGTAGTCCGTGTACGTGTGTACTTTACGTGTGTGTACCACGTGACACTCGGTGATCGTGACCCACGACCAGCCGTTTTCCAATTCAGGATATACCGTGGCCATGGAAGCTCGTCCACGTTCCACCAGAACGTGAGTGAAAAATCGGAACACTGCGTGTTGAAAAATGATGTATATTGTTCCCCTAGGCTATAGCCTATTTCCGAGCTCATTATCCTGGCATTGCAAAATTTAATAATTCTTTCCCCGTGTATTTCAGTGTTGCTTATAGCCACACAGGACATCACATCTCGACATTGCACCATTATAACTATAGTGGCGAATGGTGATACAATTAGGCCCCTGGTTACGAACCATTACATTTTTACTGTGTCCTAGACAGACCAGGTACTGTACACATCCATTTCTTCACTTTTATAATTATCCTATGAAAGGTTAGTTAAACTCGGATACTGAGCCAGTAATAAAATGTCAAAAGAGAAGACCGTTTATCATCTTGTTACAGTCGTGGATAGTTGCTGCATAACTCGTTCTCATGTGTTTCTTCTCTTTTGACAAAGGTTAGTTAGCTTGCAGGGGCGGATCCAGAGATCTCTAGAGGGGGGGTTCCGGCTGAGTCCACACAGGACGAAACAGTTCTGTCCACAGATTGAGTAATTCGATGTGTACTACATACTGAGTTACCATTGCTATTATAACAAATTGACTGGATTGAAGTTTCCACCACTGTTCCTGAACAAGATAATACCTAATAACTACTCACTTCTCCAACTCCCCATCAGCGTTATTCAGTTGCAGTAAAGAGAGTCAGACTGTTCTGTCCGGGGCATCATGTGGGAGTTGGGGAAGTAGGGATGTCGAAAGTGGCTGTGTGGAGTAAATTCGAAAAGATGAATGCCAGTACATGTATTCTATTATCCATTCATGAGTATTGTACCAGTAGGGTGATGGAACCGGCCCCAGTCAAATACTACCGTACTGGCAATATATGTTGCCGCGTAACGCGTAACGCAGGGGGGTGCGGCGTAACGCGCGACCAGGCTAGTGCGACAAATTTTCGTTGAGTTCGTAACGCGCGTCCGGCGGGGTGCGGCGATCTTTTCATTGCAGTTTGCACTGCAAAAAAAAGGCTGAAAACTGTGAAAGCACGTGTACCGCGTGGTGAAAAGTAGTTTTTGGAGGAAGCGCTCTTCCCCTATGTCACTTTCCTTTTGATGATCTTTTTGTGAACAGATCACTCTGATAGTTAAAATATACAGTCTTCTATTGATATCGTTGTCGCCCTTTGCCGTCGGGTTTGTAACAGTTGGATAGCAACTGAATTTCTGTGCCTTCAATGTGGATGAAAAGAAAAAATGATGCGGCAAAAGCAAAAAAATGATGCGGCAATAGCAAAAAAGTGATGCGGCAATAGCAAAAAAAGGACTGCGGCAATATAGAAACCTGTGTAACGGCTCCTGTGCGACTTTGCATGTAACGCCCTGCGTGCGGCAAACATGTGCCAATGTAATGCTTCATGGCCTCACTGCGGCAACATATATTGCCAGTACGGTATAGAACAGTCTTTATCATGTGCATAATGTGCACAGTCCTTGGTGGGTAATGCTCGTAAAATTGGCAGATTCTGCTAAAAGTAGTGAAATTGGCATAACCATACAAACTTTATGTCAGGCACCTCCTCGAATTCTGCTCCATGTCTACATGTATGTCCACATACATGCATGAAACATGCCAGAACAAGTACCAAATTCTGCTGATTTTGTGCCCGCATTATCCGCCAAGGCAAGGGCTATGTAGGTGCTCGTGCTGTACATGAACAACACTAGCAACGATACTGCCTGAGAGTGTGACCGAAATACGATGGGCGGCTGTTGGGAGTGATACAATCATGTACAATGAGTCATTTTGATTACTAGTATGACTATTTCTAGGTACGTGTCATGCAGGTGTTATTGGTTGACAGCATGTAACAAGGCGGAGACCACCGTGTTCGGAAACAGTGACCTTACTACGCATACGGTTCAGAAGGTCGTGAAGACCGGGGCTCTACCAACCGGGGCTCTACCAACCACGGAGGTTGTAGTAAGATCGCTGTTTCCGCACACGGTGGTCTCTACCTTGTTACATGCTGTCAACCAATAACATGTTCCAACAAAACAAGGTTTATCTAATAATGTCATCTAGATTAATTTTACATGTACAGTATAACCTCTCAAGGCGACCACTCGGATAAGGCGACCACCTGTCTTTAAAGACCACTGAAACCAGAACCAAGGGATGCTATTTCCAGTCAAATGACCCTGGATAAGGAGACCACCTGGTAACAGAGACCACGTTTTGAAGCCGGTCCCTTGAGCGGTCGTCTTAGACAGGTTTCACTGGACATGACTTTGTGGCTGTGGTGGGCATAGGACAGACGCTCATACTGGACGCTCATTTCCGCGAAACATGCATATCTCCATAACTATTACTTGCATAAGGAGACGAAAACAATACTGTGGTGGACCACATATGGCAGGGAGGTCAGCCATCTTACCTGAACGGATTGCGTCGATATTTTCTTCGTTATGGCGACATCAGTGCACCACATTGCATTGGGCCACAAAGTCAACTGACCTGCTTCAACTTACTTTGAGAACGTTGTTTCGGCTCCGTTTCCTTCCGCTACATACATTCTACACGTAGGTTGTTTCTAAACACAATAACCGGTGATAACACGGGTAGAGTCTACCGGTACGCGAACTGTACTTACTTTATCATAGGTTGTTGAATCTCTGAAGACGTTCCAGTTACGAGTAGGCCGCAGGGCGCAGGGGCACGAACAATGTCAGACAAACACCTCTCGTGTTGCAATGGCAGTGCGGTAGGCTTTGGCGCATAATACTCGAAAGGCGTTGAAACTGGCAGGACCATACGAAGCTCATGGCGGACAATTCCTCGTCATCTTCCGTTTATCCATAATACATCTACCAAGGCAACAATGCATGAATCATACCAGCGGGAAACGACCATATTCTGCCAGTTTTTCTGCCGGCGTTGTCCGCCAAGGGCTAAATGGCAGTCGCCTGGTTCAGGTGTCGTCCACTCCGTGGAATTTCTCGAAAGAGATTAGGGTTCATAGGAGATGCCTTTCAAGTACTGAGGAATGAATTAATGGTTTGAGAAGGGGCTGCGTGCGAAAAGCGTCTGCTTATGTATCTACCTGTCTTGTGCTGTTTCTCTCACTTTGTTGCCGCCTTCACTTCACACTCACTGACACTCTGAGTCTGTGCACGTCCGAAGTGTTAGCGTCTACCTGCATCTGCCTGTCTTGTAGTTTTTTCTCACTTTGTTGCCGCCTTCACTTCGGCCGTCCTCTCACTGTCACTGTATGTTAACATGTTCATGTCTCAGGGGAAAGGCGAAAACTAGTTACTTACTTGGAAAAGGCTGATACCATGCAGAACTGTGAGAACGGCCATAACAAAAATATTTCGACGTGAGCTAGCTGCAGGTCACTCGACGTGAGCTTTGTGTGTCGCGACACACAAAGCTCACGTTGTGTTTCGACGTGTGGGCCAAATAACGCGAGCTGAGTTACTTTCTCGTCATGTCATAACGTGCATCTATAATCATGATAATACCGTACTAATAGTAAAATCAGGGGCTTTTACACCTCCCTACTAGTTAATATACTAAGAAGAAGGACACACGTCAGGCTCTTCAACAAGATCTAGAAAGTTTTCAGTTTCACTGGATACCCTTTCGCCTCAAAGTCTGCATTGACGGAGTGCAGATGATTATGACTCAACAAAACTGATTGTAGCGTGAATGGTCGTTCTCCTATAGGCTATAAATATAATGTCGTAGGATACCATACAAAAATTAATTATACCATGGTCCATTAACAACTCCACGTGCTGGATCTAACCCGACGACATCGATAAAAGACTGGGAATGGGAGTACGAGTATGGTCGAGTCTGTGCCTCTCCACGCGTTTTGTCAAGTACCGGTAACACTAATCGATAATCGCCTACAAGGCTACGTACACACGGGACCTGTGATTGTGTGAAGCCGCACGGTGTTGTCCGTGTGACTCGGTACGCGGTGAGGTTGTCACCGCGATTATTTTCTTGCTTGCATTCTCGAAGGACTACAGGTTTGTTGATGTCAATACCCACTACGTCGTTCCTATTTTTGTTTTGACTGGGGCCAAGGAGCTGTATCTGCCAATATGGCAATGTCAGAAGCTGCAAGGGACATGACATTTGTCCTACCGCCGTACCGGTACCGCGTCCGACTACTACCAGTAGATCTACTAGTCAAGATTATTGTAA